TTGAGGAAAGCGGCCCAGCGCTGGCTGCCTGCGGGCAGAAGATGGCTTCCCGGGCGGGGAGCGGGGACCTGCGGGGGGGTGAGGAGGAAGCGTGTCCCTGCCCCCATGGAGAGGGGACGGCTCGCCCCATGGGCCTGCAGCCGGGGAGGCGAGAGGGACCTTCCCCGTTGCGGGGTGGGCAGAGGCTGAGGGGAAGCGCTTCTCTCGTTGGCGGGGGGGGGAGGCGGCCGGGGGGCTCCCGGCTGTCCCGGGGACTGAGGGTGCCAGGAGGGCCCTGGGCGGGCTGGAGACCAGGCCGCAGGGTGCTTGGTAGGTGTGGGCACCTCTATTTACCTAAGTTAATACATAAAAAATAAATAGGAAATGGAAGAATTCATTCTGGCAGGCATACTTTTACTTCCTCTTTCACCAGAGGCTTTTTAAGTGCGGTGTGCCCATCAGACAGTGAAGTCTGACAGTAAAGGCATGAGTTTAGGACAGCGTTACCTCCACGTACCAGAGAGATGGGAGTGAAACGGCTGAATCAAGGTCAAACCCCGTGTCAGCGGAGGGACAGCCCCAGAAACTATTGACCTGGACTTGCTGGGTCTTTTCTTGAGACCAGAGTTTTCCTCCTATAAGCCCATCATCAAAACGGGTGCCAACCTTACTTGTCATGGAAGGTGGCCTTTATGTAGAAGCAGCTTGAAATCAGTGATGAAACCAGGTCATTTGGACTCTGCATAAAGCATAAATGTAGAAATACTTTCAATATACTTGCAGGATGAAAACCCAGAAGATCTCATGAGAAATTTATTTCCTTGTGCTTGACAGTTTACCGCATGGTATAGAGGGAATGAAATGTGAAGACAGGGGAGACCTTTTCTTGCTCTTAATGAGAATCTGTTCACTTTGATGAGCATCAAATCTCTCTCTGTTAATTACTGTCAATAGAAATGGAGAGTAATCAATACTTCTCAGCATCAAGGCCTATACCAGGCACATCTGGAGAACCGAAAAGCAGAATAAAAGAAAAAGCCATAATACTGCTAGAGCCTAAGGCATAGAGTTTGCACAGTTGCAAGTGTTCCCTTAATTACAGTGATACTGTAGTAATGTAGAAATGTAAGTAAGAAATGTAAGAAAATGTAGTAAGTTTTGTAACTTACTACAAGGTCAACTTACAGTTGTTATATACTTACCTTGTAACTTAAAAACCACTTTTTTTTAAACTGCATTCCTGTAGATCAGTATTTGCAGGAGGGGTAAAGATAAAATGCACCATTTCTTTTGGACTTTCTCGGAATCTGCTCGAGCCATTGTGTTGAACTTTTCGCTTGGTCGGTTTCCTTGTAGCAATACATCCAGTGCACAGATTCGTTTCTCTCCTTCAGGTGATTTGCATACCTCCTGCTTGGAAGGGCCAGGTTATAACAGGTAAGGGTGGCTTATACCCGTCTTGCTCACTAGGGGAGCTTAAACGGAAATGTGAAGGGATAAAGAGCTTAGTTCTCCAAACTTAGAAGAGTACGTAGCAAGTTGCAACAAGGAAAGCTCTAGTTAAATACTACGAAGAAAGTTTTCACGATGAGGGTAGTCCAGCATTGCAGTGGGGCACAGAGGGATGGCGAGTCTCTGCCCTTGGAGATACTCAGAATTTGTCTGGACAGAGCTCTGAGCAAATCGATCTGCTTTGGCCTTGCTTTGAGCAGAGATCTCCGGAGGTCTCTTCCAACCTAAATTACTCTGTGACTCCATAACGGTGGCATGTAGTACTCCTTGGGAAGCATGCACATGAATATTTGCAGACTGGGGTTTTCGTGACTGTTAAGCAGAGCAGGTGGTGGAGTCTGCCAGTTACCAGCTAACACACTGTTGAAATTATCAAACGGATTTAAAAGCAGAGTTTCCTCAGTAAACAGCTGGCCTTAGAAGTTACCGTGAATGTTTTCGCTGTTACTTCCATATGTATTTTCAGAAATTCTTTGGCTGTTCTGTGTTATGTCATGTCAGCATGAAGTTTGAATGCAGGTAAACTGCAAGTTGATGATTGGATTCAGAGAGATTGACTGTAGCCATTTTTTCCTTGTTTTAGGTGTTTTCTCACCCAGTTAATATTACACTGGAGACGTTATGCTATCCAAGAGAATAGCATGAAAACAGCATGAAAAGGAATATCGGTGTGTATTGTTTTCTTACATACATTAGCTGTGTTCCTTTATGTGATTTAAAATGAGAGAATACAAAATATGGACAATTGTTGTTTTAATTTATAGTCTTGTCTAAGTTAAGGAATAGGGCAAGTTCACCTGACACAACTGAAGTTATTTTTACAGTGAATATTAGCAAAGAAATGTTTTTTTAATGTCTTTTAGGCATTTCTGTTCATCCAATTTCTATCTAATTTATTTTGGCAGCATGTAAAATCACGTGTAGGCATTAAAATAACATAATGTTCAGCAATTAAATTCTTCCTTTCTTTGAAATAACTAGTTTGTAGCAAATAAATAATGCAATAAAACAACAGAGGCAAAAGAGGGATTTGTTTTGTAAAGGCATTGGCTTCCTTGTGTGTGATTTCCTCCTAAAATGAGCTCAAATTTCTATAGACTATCATTTAAACTGTAGTAGCTTCCTTTGGATGTTGAACTGAATTCATTTTGTTACCAGCTGAGGTCATCATAAAACAACTTTGTTTTATTTTCCCTGCTCTCAAGTGTGCTTTAGGGGAGAAGTAAAAAAAAAAAAAAAAAGGTAAGGGGGAGTTGAGGAACCCTCAAAACCAGAGATTTATGAGAACTCTGTGAAGACTTTGATGACCCCAATGTTCCATCTAGTCAGGCTGTAAAATCAAAATATGTCCCCCACCTCAGACTAATTTGGACTGGGACTCATGGTTTCTATGTTGAATCCAGCATGGCTGAAAAACAGCTTCATGTTTACGCATCGTCTTTTTTGTAAAAAGACATTAGCGTGTCCTGACCCTCGATCTTCTTACTCCTTGCTTGGCATGTTTTCTGATTTTAGTTTTCATCCTTCTTCAGCTGAGTATCTAAAATGTGTGGAGAAAATAATGATGTGAATTAAGATCAGTGCCCTCTATTTAGTGAAATGGGGCGCTTCTAAAAGCAGTTAGTGCTTCTTAAAAAGGAATAATTTCCTTGCACACAAGCCAGCTTTGTTTTATGTGAAAGAGTGGATTCTTTAGCTCCTCCTTTATTTACCCAGTGCCTTTACAATTCATCCCTCCATTCCCCTCAGTACAAAAGTGAAATATTCTATTTACATTTTAAACTGCAACTTCATCATGCAAATTCTCAGTCCCTGAACAAGATGGGAAGCA